GAAAATATAATCCAAGAAATTATACAATTTCACCAAGTTCAGCTTGCTAGTTCCCAAAAATGTAACCCTATTTCTCATCTTTACTCTGCATCAAAATGCAAGGCAGTACAATCACAAGAAACAGATGCTAAACTACTCGAATTCCCCCATGAATCCGTGACAACAAACCGACCAAGCAAAAGGCACAATGAAGAGCTCAAGATTGCTCTAATCCCCCAATTTTACATAAATTCAAGGGTCACAAACTCACAATACATGACACATAAAATCTAAAAACAATTAAATGCTTGAATCGACAAAATTCGCATGCTATTCAACAAATTCGAATCCAAACAACAATTTATATTTCATAACAAAAACATTCGAGCAATTAACTAGAAATAAACCCTAGATTGTGAAATTGATAGTCGATAATTTAAGAAATACTACCTGAGAAGCCGCTTCAATGGAGAAGAAAGCTCAAACTCGCTTCAATGGAGGATCGAGAAAGCTCAAAACTCGCTTCATTGGGATGAATATTCAGCGACGAAAATGATTAACTCACATAATTGATTGTTGAAACGCAAAACTCACTTTTCAGGTTTAATTTTGAAGCTAAAGACGAAATTGATGAAGATTGAAGCAAATTATTGATGAGATTGAAGCAAATTCCTCTGAAATTTGATGATTTTTTGGGAGAAGGATAGAGAACCAGTGATATCGTGAGATTGAAGAAAGATAAAAATAGAGCAGAGAGAATGGACGGTCAAGATTACAAATAACGCGAATGTAATCTAATCCGTCAGATGAAAATTCAATGGTCTAGATCATCTGTTTTCAGTTTTCAGCTTTAGGTTTGTTTTCACATGATCCAATCTCTATGTGTATATATATGTATGTATATATATATATATATATATGTATCTATATATATATGTATGTATACATATATATATATATATATATATATAGATATATATATATATATATATATATATATATATATATTATATATATATATATATATATATATATATATTATATATGTGTGTGTGTATTTTTTTTTTTTTGTTGCATATCATACTAGTCTTTTATAGTTCTCATTGATTATGTATGATTAATATGAATAAAATGATTAGTTTCATTAGTTTCCAAAATTAGGGCCCTTATTCCTTCAATTAGGTGCCTTTTTTTTCTAAAATTCTATGAGGTGGTTGTTGTTAGTCCATAAATTCTTCTTTATTTCCTTACAACTAATTAATTTGGTAGAATGGAAATGAATAAATAGAAAAACTAATTAAGAAATAACTCAAATAAGATACGGAGTATGTAATGAACTTTCCGACAACTAATTTGAATAATTGTATTAATAAAAGAAAGTATTTACTATAAAAAATACATTTTCTATATTTCTACAATACATTGCCTTTTACTTTCAGATTAAATCGAGGAAATTTGGACATAAAAAAAAAAAAAAAAAAAAGGAAAGGTAATGCAAGTAACGTAAGTTTTTATTCCATGGTCTTTTATTTTGTCTATGATGAGTTACCCTTCCATATGTCGTTTTTATTTCAATATTTTTTTTTCTCTACAATCCCGTGTAATCTTAAGAAAAGGTCACAAGTGCGTAACCTTTTGCATGGGACTTGAATAGCATTAGTGAAAGGAAAAAAAGAGGAGATCAGAGAATGAACCTTTTTGTTACACTTAAGAAAGGATACGCATGATGAGTTGCATTACTATATAACTATATTTACGTTTGTATGTACTTAATGAAATGCATTTCCACATAAAAGAAAAAAGACACAAACTTTTTGGTAACGACCCATTTCTTACATCTAATGGGAAGACTGGATTACTGGAAGAGGTGTCACCAAATTTTATTGTATTATTTTTATTATTAATTATTTGTTTTAATAAAAATTGTAATATTATGCTCATATCGAACCTTTTTGTAGGTAAAATTATGCTTCCTACCAATTATTCCTTATGTAATCAATGATTGGTCTAAAAAAAAAAATGTTTGCGATTCTGGTGATTGGTGAACAGCTAGATGTTCTATGGATTAGATTTATAGATTAATATTAAATTATATTTATTGTAATTAAGTTTTTTTATGAACTAATAATAATATACTTTCAACTTCTAAATGCGACTTAAAGACTTGTTTTTCATGCGGATTACATGAAAAGTTGAAAGATTAGCTAGGCAATCAGAAGATTCTATGAATGTTGTAATTGTATTCAAACTAATCCTTGATCTTTATTTAATTATGTTGCTTGTTCTTCTGTCCGAAGGCGATTGGTTTCGTTCAATTGTGTTATTATTTATCAATATAATCTTAATTTTATATTGACTTATGGATGTGATTAAGCTAGAGTATAATCCTTGCTTGTTGCTTAAGCATGAAAAAAAGTTATTTTTATTATTAAATTAGTTTTAAAAATGGACTGAAAATGGTCTCTTTAAGAAAGCCATTATTTTAAGTCAACAACAATGCATAAATGACTAATTTATGTTTTAAACTTTGAAAAAATAAACAGAAAGAAAAAGAGCAAAAAAATTATTGTAAAAAGGCATGAAATGATTATTGATAAATGTAGAAAAAAAAGGGGTGATAAGCCAGTCCAAGAAACGTATGTAAGCATGTACTTAATTCTTAATTGAGCAATTGTCATGTGGATAATCTATGATATCCTTGTTAAGAATGTATCATAATCTAATCAAGAAATACAAATCAATCAGAACATACAGTTTAATTAATACGTTAATCCTTTTCTTGTTAAGATTGAGTTACAACTGAGACCCTCAGACCCTGTTTGCTTCTATGGCACAGCGCGTTGCATTAACTTGGGCTGCTGCTCTAAGCTATCGAATCCAGTTGTTAAAATAAAAATCAGTTTTTTTAGTTCTTCTGTTGCCTTTAACATCATATTAAAACTGTAAACTATAGTAATATACTAATATACGCCATTTTAAGGATTTTAAAGTAACTTCCGTTGCTCCAAAATTCTGATTTGATGGGAAAATTTGATGAACTTCTCTCACTTCTATATAAGCAATATTCAATGAAAATTAAGCAAATATAGAAAAATTTCTTTATTCATAAATCTGGAATATTCATATTCATTTGCCAATTTAATTCAAACTTTGAAGTACGATTATTATTCCTGGTCAGGGTGGTCAGTAGGGGAAGTCCAATCTCCAAGTTTACTAAAAGGTGAGCCTTTTTGGTTGGTTTGCAATATTTGCTTTCTGTTGCATTCAACCATTTCTATCCTCTGCATAAAAAGATAGCCATGATGGCCGAAAGAACAATTTATCGAGTCTTTATTGAATTTGAATGGTTTTGCCTGTCCTTTTTGGCTTTTCATGTTGAGGCGACGGTCCCTCTTTGACCTTCTATAGTTCTACCAGTGTAGGAGAAGGTTCCCTTCCGCCTCCACCTTTGTCCGATGAAGCAACTTGGAGATAGGGAGGGGTAGAATTCAGCCGGGATCAAGGGTATCGTTGTAATTTTATTCCTGCACTTGTTTCTTTCCTGCATCTGTCAATTATGCATAATTTGTTTGCTTAAAATTTTTCTTCTTCCTATTCTCTTCAGTTGTTCTTTAAGGTCACGAAAGTCTAGAGATCAGATGAAAGACTACAGGATTCAATCACACACTCAAACCAACTCTTTGCAGAAAATTTGAATACGGTGCACCTAATCGTGTACTTTCTGCATTATAAAGTCTAGATAAACTTAATTGCATACTTATCAAACATTATAAAGATGAATTAATATAGGTGATTAGATACATTTAACTTAGGAAAAACACGAAATACCACGTGCTCTAGCGTAATATCACTAACAGTAAGGCAAGAATAAAGGTGCGGTAATTTAGTTCCGCCTTAGTCTTAACAGAGTAAACAGACATGAAGCATAATATTTGAACAAGTAAACATATTTCAGATACATCAGATAGACAGACAGACAACAGTTTATATTAGCAGCATCATACATTGTCTGAGACACAATATGCACAAACATTATATCAGACATCTAAGTCAGTAGCTTCACACGCCTGTAGTAAGACATCTAGAAGATAACATATACGCTCCCCACTCCCAGGCCCATCAGAGTTCAGGAACACCTTAACCATCTAGGCTCCAAGTCCCGACTAAATCCCAAAAGATAGTAAGGTACACTGTTCTAGTAGCTGTTGGGACTCAGGTTTACTAGTTAGAACTGTACAGAAAATAAAGGCAGTACCCTGTCAGTCCACTTTCAATATTCATTCATTTCATGTCAACATATTAGAACACTAACCTATCCCAAGTCCACACCGGTGATTTGTCTCTTTAAAGCTCTGGGCAGGGTGCCTGATAAACATAGTGAAGTAAGACGGGCATCAGTGAAAGCATGTAATGCTAATGTCATCATGGACTTCTTTCAAAAAAAAAAAGTCATCATGGACTGCAGTAAGCTACACTGCAACTCTTATATTATACTAAATTTCTCCCAGTCTTCCTCTTCTTACACCACCCGTAACTAAAGGGAAAAAAAGATTCTTGAACCCTTTACTCCATGTCTCCATAGCTTAAAAAAAAAAAAAAAAGAACTTTGAACTTCTTCATCATTAACTCGGATATACAGTAGATTCATGATCATATACTGAATTAAAGCATGCACATTATACATGACAGAACAAAAAAATGCAAAATCAGATAAAGTGGATAGAGCAAAAGGAACAATATACAAAACACAGTATCAAGGCTAATCCAATTTTAAAAACCAGATTATAGAAAAGTAAGTTGGAATATGTAACCTGCCAGTCTGCCATTCCAAGTGAAACTCTTCTTATTCAGACTTTCCAGCAGAGTTAGACGATTTAAAAACAACTAGATGCATACCATTAGCTTTCCTATGGTTGGCAGCTCAAGGGAGCTACTTTTAAGGTCAAACACAGAGAACAATAAACGACCATGCTCATCAACCATCAAGAGTAAATCATTTCATCTAAATCAAACACATTGTGCAATATAAAACAAAGAGAGTGGATACAACGTCCAGTAGAAAGGGAAAAAGGATATATCTTGAATCAAATAAAACATGGAAGCTGATAAATTGAACGACAGGTACAAAAAAATAGGCAGACATGCCTTGCCTGCTCAATGCCTCAATCTTATCCAACAAAAGGAAAACTCATTCTTGTCATTCACAGAAGTACGTAACACGTGATCAATCAACAATTTTGACAAAACCAAAATTTCGGGTGTACAAAGAGACATTGTTGCCCCTACTCATATTCAAAATACACATCTACATGCATATACTGCCGCATCAGCCGAACAATGGAGGAAGTAAAATTTTGCCAACATTTGGCATTCTTCAGGTGTTTTGGCATCGGAAACAGTCCCATGAATGATCAACTTTTCGAGGTTGGGACATCTCTGCAAAAGCTCTTCAACCCAATGGGAGAAGATATCACTGATAACAGTCCAACCAACTTCTAGTACAGCTACATTGTGCAGATGATAAGAACCCTCCAATCCATAGTGAATCACACCGTCCCTCAAGTCATTACTTAATGAAAGATGGCTTAGATATGGGAAGCAAATAGCTATAGTTTCCAAATCAACTACATCATCCTCATCATCAAACACCACATCCCAAAGCCGAAGTACTCTCAAATTTGACGACATAGAGATCATATGATAAAATTTTGGCCAAATGATTGTGAAGTTGCTGACATCAATAACTTCAAGATTTTCAGCTATTTCACCAATATCAAGATGTATAACACTAACATCATCAATTTGAAAAACGCTTTAAAGTCCCCTTCCCAATAAGCTCGAACTGCTCCAGAGCACAATCTTTCAGATGCATATCCTCGAGAGAGTCAGCCTCCAAAATGAACTTGTCCAAACTAATGGCTTCAACATATATAGTCTTCAGCGTTGGACTGCTCAATTCAACACTCACTTGGGCATCTGACATGGCAATCTCGGGATTAATTAGGGATAAGGTCTCAAGTTTTGGGCAAGCGGTAGTAAGAAGGTTCAAATCCAATGCTGAAATGCTGACATAACTCAGGGAAAGCGAAGTGAGGCAAGAAAAACCTTTGATAATTAGGTTCAACTCCTATGATTGTATTGTGTGCCAAAGACAGCATCTCCAGTTTGTGTCTCCCACAAATATCCAGAATGTTAAGGTTCGGGCTAGTCCTAACATTGTAATACAATCTTCTCAGACTTTCCCTAGTATACATAAGCCACGCAATAACTGTTGAAGCCGAAAACTCATCAACATCATCCATCAAGATTGTAAGCCCTTGCAAGCCAGTAGTTTGGAAAATTGTCTGTGTAATCAAAATCTCTAGCCGGCTAGTCAACAAATCGCGAAAAACAGGCCAATCATTGGAATTGAATGAAAGAGAATGTAGGTGCTTTCGAAAAGCCTCTCTCCATTTCCGGCACGTTGCAGATGCAATCACAACTTCCCTAGCAGCCCCGAGGCGGGACAGTATGTTTCCAATCACTTCAACAGGTAAATTCTCCATCTTCTACTCTAATCATAAACCAAATTCAATTCACCCCAAAACCAACAACAGAATTTTGGGTTTTGCTTCTTCAAATGCAATTGAAGATTAATTAGTTATATCATACATATCCCAATGTATTGTATCCTGATCACATCATCCTCTAATTCTTCAGCCAAATTTTCAACAAAACAACAAATCATTGTATTAAAAAAATGGGTATTTCGCATTGCTTCAATACCCAATCTGAATCAACAACACAAACACTTCATTTCTAATAATAGCAAGACAGACATCTTCATCAAGTAACTGCAAGATTTTCCAATCAAATGAAAGATCCAAACTTTGAGAATTACAAATGTCAAAACATACACAAATCAACAGGCGATTAATCACAAAACCAACATAATCTTACAATATCAAAAAGAAGCAAACTTTCCGATTAAATAATAAAAACCCAGTTGTGAAAATTGGTTAAAGAATCCAAAAACGGGAAAATTGAAACATACCCAGTTGAATATAGTGCACAAAAATAGAACCCAGATGAACAAATCCTCCGAAAATTCGTTGGATTTGATCAGATAGAATGGCTAAAATGCGGTAGGTTGAAGGGGCATCATTGTGTTATGAGCGAGTCAAGCACAAGGCTTGATCGCAGGCGTAAGTTGGGGAGAGAGACTCACCATCCTTTTGAAAAATACGGCGGACCATTATTCTTAGTCCTTTTTGTTTTTTCTTTTTTCTTTTTTCTTGTTCTTTTTAAAAAAGAAAGAGAAAAAATGTTCAGCAGACCAACCACACTGGACTGAATAGTGTATCATAATGAGTTGACATTTAATTTTAGATTTTGAGAAGGAACTCTTGCGGCAATGGCCCAGAGTTCGTCTCCCATTCTTGAGGTATGAGGTTCGAATTTTATCCGACACAAATTCTATCTTCCTACCTTTATGGGCATTGTAATTTGAGAGTACGAAATGCTAAAGTCAGTATTAGTACGATATGGATGAGAATGTAATTTGAGAGTGTTCAGGTTAAGAATATTGTACCTTAAAAGTAAGATATGTTGGGGTATTTTATAGAAATCTCATAGCATGTACCATGTGTCGATCTATGTGAGTGTGTTGTCAAGTGGGCAATGGGTGTCCACGTGACTAGAAGCAGGTTTCCACGTGGGTGGCGAAAGAGGCTGATATGGATAATGAACTGGTATTGGACACGATCCAAATGCGAAGAACTAACCCGATTACGTAATCCATATCAGTGTACATGAATTAAGTGGGATCTAAGCATGGAAAGGCTAAACTACGAAAATCTTCCTCAAGGGTCATAAATAAAGCCTATACAATTAGTCTGTTCAATCAGATTTGTTAAGTAATCAGTTGCACAACTGTCCTCTCGGTAGACGTGAATCACCTCAAATTCCAAATCCTTTTATTGCGTAATGAAAGATAGTGATTAAGGAGATGAGTGCTCTCACTGTAGCTACTAGCTCCAACAAGAAGTGCTTGCACACAAGTTCGATCATCAGTTCGCTTATTTTAAGATTGCGTGCCAAATCTAGGCCCTGACCAACACCATCACCTATGCATGAAAAGACCACTACAACAATGTGGATTCGTGCATGAAGATGAAGATTCTTACATACATTCATGCATGTGGATGCAGATTTACCAAGGATAATCTTTTTTTTTTTTTTTTTTTTTTTTTTTTTTTTTTTTTTTTTTGAGGAATACCAAGGATAATCTAATGCTCATTATTTCATCAAAATATATTTGGGTACGCCTATACTATATATTAGAATTTTCGATACTAAATTATCAATGCTCAACACAAAAGAATATTAACATAATTTCAAGTGATAACAAAACCATATACTACGTATTTTTGTACTAGTATAACTATCTAACATACAAAGTATGTAATTAAGACCAAATTTTTGTTTGTTTTAGATGTATATTAAAACTAAAACTTCCGAGTTAAGTATAAAACAAAGGACTCAATTCTTGCAAAATGTGTAGGAAGGGGACTCTATCTATTTTACAGAGGGAAAAGGGACTGAGCTAGAATAGGTTTGGGTTTTCGGTGGGTTTTAATTAAATAAGGAAAAGAATTGAGTCCCCTTGGTTAAACAATTGAGTCCCTTTGGTCAATTATTTTTATTTTTTTATTTTGGAGTTCCTTCCTCTTTTGGAACAAAAATAAGGCATAGAATTACAATACGTTGAATGTTTAACTTCTTCATCATCTTCATCACATTCTCGACCTTCCAACTCCACATTTCTCTTTAAAATCATGACCATCTCATAAGCTAACTCTGACTTAGGTGGACTGTCAACCCATCTACCACCTAATATAATCACACCCATCTACTTATTTTATAGTTTGGGCATATTAGAAATCTCATAAAAGGATGCTTGACTGTCTTAGAAACTCTCTTTATTGACCTTCTGTTGCAATATACACAGGACATATCGATAATCATTTTTTTTATTTTTTATTTTTTATTTTTTAATTTTAAGGCTCTAAAGCCTTTACTAAAATTGCGATGTGTGTTTCTGCTACAAATGCAAGACAAATAAGCTACAAACCAGAGAGATGAAGAACATGCTTTGGCTTATTATTATTACTGAAAGAAATATTTTTTTTTTTGGATAACAAACATTAAAAAAAATTCAAGAACAAAGCTTTTGTATTGCTATTGCACTTTCTTAATTTCAAACGACTATATTTTTGAAAACAATCAGCAGAAATGATTAATGAAGGGATTGAATTTGTCTAGTTTAATCCAGGTAATATTGAGGGGACTCAATTCTTTACAAGGGACTTGATTCTTCTTGGGTTAAAAGATCAGTTAAGTCACCTAAAAAATACCCCTACCACCGGAAATTTAACCCCAATTCCCTTTTCCTCTAAATAAATAGAGTCCCCTTTCTCCATATTTTGCAAGAATTGAGTCTCTAATTTTATACTTAATTCTAAAACTTCCTACGTATAAACCCAAATAAAAAAATAAAAAAAATCTTGTACTTCAAATTCCCACAAAAATGTTCATACTATAACCAAAAAGGCAAAAACAAAAATTGGCACATTTGAGCTAAAAATCAGGTTCTCCGTAAAATATACTCCTACGTCATTTCTACGGTGACCCCCAAACGATTTCTCTCAATCTCAGACACTGTCACTGTCAGAAAGATCAAAGTAGCTAGTTAAGTTAATCATGTCAAAGTTCCCAAATTTGTTGCTAATTTTAATGATTAAATTCTGGGTTTTTCCTCCTGTTTATTCCTTCAATCACCACTACAATGTGGGCGATCAAATCCCTATTTTTGCCAACAAAGTTGGCCCTTTGAATAATCCCAGGTACCCACCATTTTCTAATTTTTATTTTGACTTATAATTTGTTCCCAAATTTCATTTTATTGCCTTTATTGGAGAATTGGTTTGATTTTTTAGCTTTAAAATTTTGGCCTTGCTTTGTTTCCTGAGAATATAGTATTGTTAAGTTTTAGTGATTTTTCAATAGTAATCATTTCTTTAATTAATTAATTAATGGGGTTAATAAATCAGAAAATTTGAGGATATGGCTAATTTTTTTTTCTTTAGTGTTTTCGCGATTGCTACATTCCCGGATTCAAAAATTTGATCTTGTGGGTGTATTATGATTTAGGACAAGTATTCTGTAATTTTTTGAATGTAGAAGATTTTTGAGACAATGTGGCAATGTGGACTTGTTATTGCTATTGGCAATGTGGCATCTGACTTTGGTAAAATTTCGAGTTCGATTTCATTGTTTCTTATATAGTTCTGTTGGGAATATTATTTAGATCTGTAGTTCTGTTGCAGAAAAGTGTTGCAGGATTAGCATTGTTAGTACTTTGGTGAGGGAATTTTGATATGAATCTTTGTCTTTTTGCAGTGAGGCGTACGAATATTTCGATTTGCCATTCTGCCGCCCAGGTTGGCTAATAGTCTTATACAAGTAACAATTAGTGCATTTTCTGTCAAGATTGGGTAGAAGATTGAACTAACATTCATTTGTTATACATATGTTTGCAATTATAATCATGCAGACTGTGAGCTCAAACTTAGTAAAGTAAGTTGAATTTCAGCTGTCAGTTTACTGATGCATAGCCTTGCAATTTTGTGCTATCGTAACTATATTAGGACTTTCTTAAGATAGCGGAAGATATCGAAACCCATCTAGGCTATCTATTTAAGTGTGGAAGGATAAACAGTTTTAGAAGCGGAAATATAGTTGTGAAGTATAATCAAAGCAATATGGCATATGATGATTAGTAGCTGGGTTTGATGACTGCAGACTAATGCCGTGTACTCTTGTGAGACTGGGTAAAGGGCTGCGTAGCACATATTATGATGCTAATTAGCTGCCTATGCAATGGATGTAATTCAAGAGACTGAGACTTTTCTTCGCTAGTTTACACAATCCTTTCTTAGTTCTTAACTTCTTACCTTTGCATTTCAAAAACTTGAGCTATTTCCCGGATATCTGCAAGACGGCTTGCTTCATTATCCTCTCCTGGGTGATGTATCAAATGTGGCTCTGCAGTCTTTCAGTTTATGCACCTAAAATGACAGATTCTCATGTCTTATCTAGTATAAGTGCATCTCTTGATATGTTTGAAATGACCTCTTGTCTGCAAAATATATTCAGTCAGAGTATGTGGTCCTGTTAGTCTTTTAAGATTTTCTACTAAATCAGTGCAAATTTCAAAACAAATCATTGAAAAGAGCTCTGTTGCCGTAGCTGAATTGTGTGTTTTGTTCTTCAACTCTTTGATTGCAGATCCTTTAATCAGAAGAAAGGAATCACTTGGCGAGGTTTTAAGTGGTGATCGTCTGACAAACACACGCTATGATATAAGGTTCCAGGAAATGAAAATAGCAGAGGAATGGTGCACCACTAAACTTGGAAGGGAGGAACTTGTTAAATTTCGTGATGCAATTCAGAGGGATTATTACTTTCAAATGTTCTTTGATGACCTCCCATTTTGGGGATTCATTGGGATAGTTGAAGGAGAGAGCTTGAACCCCTATATGAAAGGGTCAAGATCCTATCTATTCACACATGTTCAGTTAGATGTCTTATACAATGACAATAATGTTATAGAAGTGCACGCTTTCAGTGACCCCAGTCATGTTGTTGACATCACAGAAGATGCTGCAATTAATGTAAAGTTTACTTACTCAGCAAATTGGAATGCAACATCAACGCGATTTGCAAACAGAATGAGAAGATATTCAAAGGCATCTTTGCTCTCACCAGTTCAGCAACTTCACTGGTTTTCATTCATTAATTCAGCTGTCATCATTTTGCTATCAATGGATTACTGGCTGTGCTATATTGGTGGAATATCAAGAATGATTTAAGAAAGTAATTTAGCAGCCAGTCATTACTTGCACTGTTACTTAAATTTTTTTGTTTTCAGGCAGGGCTCTAGCTTCTCCTTGGTTGACAATTAATCATTTTGTATTCTAGGTATTCAAATGGAGATGAAGACGATAGAGAGATTGGATGGGCGTGCATTGAGGGTGATGTTTTCAGATGCCCGACATTGTTGCCTCTCTTTTGTGCTGTGCTTGGCTGTGGCACTCAACTTTTTCTTGTGTAAGGCAACTAATTGGATCATTGTGCTCTGATACTTGTTACTTGCATCAAATATGTGCAACATTTATGTGTAGACTTATCAAGTTTAATCTGCATTCTGTTTGGTAGTATTGTTCTATTGGACCTGTTTGCTTCCAGCATATTGAATATGAACGTCTGCTATAACTTGTCTGCTGCAGCACTCCTGGTGTACCTTACTAGCCTATATATGAAACTTTTCAGGTTTTGCTGTTTGTTTGTATTAACCTCCCTCGGTCTTCTAGTGCCATATACCCATGGGACTTTATGGACAGCTGTTGTTGTCATTTACACTGTAACGTCTGCAGTTGCAGGATATACTGCTGCTTCATTTCATTGCCAATTTTCCGAAACTGGATGGGTAAAAATCTCTATCTCAAATGCATCTGAATTACAGTTGTGTTCCCCTCTTTCCTTTTCTTTCCGTGTGCGGCATGCATGGCAGCATGGGTGATTCAATTATGACTGGCTATGTTCCCTCCATCCCTAAATAATAGTCCACCTTTCTATTTCAAACCATCTCAAAATAACAGGCCATTTATTCCCATACTATCCTCAATGATAATATTAATCAGAAAACACAACATTGATACGGTGTATATTCAAAAGTTCATAAAGTAATGCTACTTATAATAACATCTCTAAAAAATGATCAAATACGTGGGCTATTGTTTAGGGATGGGAGTATTATAATATTTTCAATGGTTCAATGAACATAAATTAATTTTGCAGGAAAGAAGTGTCCTCCTGACAGGGATTCTCTTTATGGGTCCATTGGCACTTGTACTTTCTATCCTTAATACAGTAGCAGTATCATATGGGTCTACAGCTGCTCTACCTTTTGGCACCATTGTTGTGATATTTCTCATACATACATTTGTTACTGCCCCACTTCTTGCATTAGGAGGGATTGTTGGATGTCGTTACAGATGTACAAAAGTTGTGCCTTCTAGCAAGAAGTATGTGAGAGAGATTCCTCCATTAAATTGGTATAGAAAAATCCACATTCAGATGCTTCTGGGTGGTCTCTTACCTTTCAGTGCAGTTCTCGTGGAGCTGCATCTGCTATATGCAAGCATGTGGAGCTACAAACTATTTACACTGCCGAGCATTATGCTCATCAGCTTCTCAATCCTTGTCTTACTGACTGCTATATTAAGTGTTGGTTTGACATACATTCAACTTTCTGTGGAAGATCCTGAATGGTGGTGGAGGTATGCTGTTTATATTCCATTGTTGCTTACTTGATTCATGCAACATGTGGGCTCTATATGGCTGAGAGGAAAATCAATTTCTTCCACCTTTCTTTCCCTTTGCCCTTTTCTCTTCTAACAATGAACCAAATGATGGACAATTAAGTGCAAAACCTAAATTCCATTGAAATATCGCTTTCCATCAAGTTACAATTTTTCTCAAGTTGTTTTCCTTTGAACCAAATACAAATATAGAGAAAACATTTTTTCTTACATGTAGCCTTATTTTCTTCCAGGATGCCTTAACTTTGTATTTTCCTCCTGTTATAGTCGCTGCTGACTTTCTCATCAAAGCTTAAATTTTTCTTCTATTTCTGCAGGTCGGTATTACGTGGTGGATCAACAGCTATGTTTATGTTTGTCTATTGTATATACTTCTATGCCAGGTCACATATGGATGCTTTCATGCAGTTGTGCTTCTTCCTGGGCTACAACGCTTGCATTTGTTATGCTTGTTTCTTAATGCTTGGTGCAATTGGTTTCTGTGCTTCTTCAATATTCATCCAGCACATGTATCATGGCGTTAAGGGCGAATGAATTTCATACCTTTTGATTTTTATCCCACTTTTACTGACAATCCTCGACAAATACACGATGTGTACCCCCGAAAATAGGGATCCCTGTCGTTTACCTCCATTGATGAAATGAAGGCCTTACAAGAATACAAGATGCAAAACCATGCTGATGAAAGTTCCAGGTTTGTTTCAAATTGAGATTAATTAGAAATATGTGTGTAAATGCATAGCATGACAGCATGAGATTAAGGCTGTTTTTTTGTGTCTATTGATTCTAAGTAGTTTTTAGCTGTTATCAGTTCATAAAATATGAAAACGATACTCTCCAACTTTGATGGCTTATAGTTTAGATATTATTATGGAAATCAGCTAGACTTTCTTTTTTTCCTTAGAATCTGTCAGCGTGTCAGCAGCTTTTGCATCACATGTAAGTAGATATTCAAATTCCTGAAATTAATCACTGCCTAAATTTAGAGAGAATATCTGCAAATTATTTTCTGTAAACAATTTCTGAAAATGGTAGTCTAATTTGTTCTCACTTGAACTCTATAGTGGGTGTTTGCAATGTAATACTCATAGGAAGATTAGTCGGGACATAAATAACCGATATTGAAGTTACTGTGAAACTAGTGGAGGGGCTTAGTATTTATTTCAAACCTCTTACACGTAATTCCTCTGTCTCATTGTGTTTGTCCAATATGATTTTTTAGAGTTAAACTTACGACTTTATGTTTTTATAGTTGCAATAGTTAATGTGCTTAGCACAATAATATCACTCTTCTAACATACTTTATGTAGTATTTTATACATTCAATATGAACTTAGGGGAGAAGGTGTTGAAACTTTGCCACTTTCAAGTACTTAGGTTTGCATTGCAAGGGAACATTCTTCAGAATCAGATACTCTATAAATTCCTTAGAATCAGCTCTTACATTGTTACCTCATTTTTGTTCTTTCAAGTAGGGAGTTGTGATAAATATGCAATTGCTTCTGACATGTGCATGTTTTAAAGTGCTCCCTATGAAAACTTCCGGACCTTAAGATGATCAAAACAATGTCTCCTGGCCTGGTTTGAGTGCTATCTATAGTTATACAATAGACGGAATTTGCAAAATAGTTATTGATGTTTATTTTCATTATATGAAAGTACATATAACACTGACCAATTCCCTTACACAAATTAATTTAGAAGATCAAGAATAAATATTTTTTTTTTTCATTCCTTGTACTCAAAGAAGTAACTTCTCAGTTTCAGAGAAAAAACTCTAGTATATTCTTCCTAGTACAGTATTTTGATAGCCGAATTTGAGGTATAGATGGAAGAGCTATAATAGATATTTTGTAAACGGCAGAGATATGTAGCATGAGAAATTAGCTAGTCTCAACGAGAGGGCTCATTAATTGGAGGGTCAAATACTGGAGCTGGAATATAGTCTAGTGACTTATATGGTGGAGGTGCACCGTTTGTGGGAGATTGGATTGGTGAAGGTGGAAGTGGAGATGAAGATGAAGATGGAGGTGAAGGTGGAGGGTATACAGGATAATCATCCTCAGCTGGAGCTGGAGCTGGAGCTGGAGCTTGGGCAGGAGTATCATTAGTTGGATTCTTGTAAATTGGAATATAGATAGGCTTCGGAATATATATGGGCTTCTTGTATATTGGCTTCTTCTTATGTACGGGCAATGGGGTGGGAAATGGTTTTTTGTAGATTGTTAATGGGTGGTTGTACTTAGGCTTCTTGTGCCCTGGTGATGGTGAAGTCACAGGTACCTTTGGTTTGGGTTCCGATTTAATTGGTATGTTGAAATTTGTTGGACTGTCCACAGGGTTGCCGTTGTCCTGTTGTTTTGGTTGGTTATCTGGAATGCTGTTCTCTGGTTTCGGGATATAACCATTGTCGAGTTCGCTGGCAGAAGATACAACAGCCATTTTGAACACAAGTATCAAAGACATGAAGCAAAAAAGATGGCGAGCCATCAATCTTGATCTTTCTGAGGCTGTAAGACTAGTTTAGGATGAGAAAAATGTAATTTGGATGGAGCTAAGTAGATGACATGTTGTATTCTTTTATATGCAACTCCCCTTGGACCGATTTCTACATTAACAGCACATGTTACATGATAGCTAGGAGATAAAGACGGTAGCAGCAGCAAGGTTGTGGTATTATTCACACTCCTACAATGAAGCAGACATTAGGAAATCATCAGAGGTTCTCTGACATTTTGTTGCTGTGACAAAGGGCATTTTAGCTGCATTTTAGCACAAAGTACATTAAAAAATGGTGGCTGCTGATTTGTAAAAGCAGCCCTGGAATAGTAGACAAAGCTACTGTCTTGAGTATTGTTATGATTGTTATTGTTTACACAAATTTCGAGTCTAAATAAATAAAGACGGGAAATAAAGTAACAAATAAATTTATATTAATATTTGAATTGGGTACAATTTCTGTATTACAATTTATAATATAATAAACTAAATCCTCTGATTCTGTTCCGCGGCTTTATGATTACACGTGTGCGACACCTGTAGGTCGTCGTTTGATGAAGTCGACTTAGATTTGAATGCAGGGTGACGTTTGATGTTGTCAACCTGAGTTCGAATGCAGGGTGACGTTTGATGATGTCAACCTGTATTCAAATGTGTTTGAGTAGAGAGAATTCCGGTTGAGTTTTATAAGCTCTTGAGAATAATGATTTTTGGATCCTCTCCACTAATGGAAGAATGTTGTATTTATAGGAGATGAGAACCCGGTTGGACTTGGTAGGTTTGGGCCTGGCCCATTTTATAACTAAGAAGTCTTTTCCTGTTCCATTTAATTTGTTTTATAATCCGAATTCTATTTGATTAATTCGGATTATATATTTGGGTGGGCCAAAAATAATTAAAATGGATTACTAACATAATTTAACCCAAATTAATCTATTTAATTTAATGTAAAACACTCATAAACTTTCCGTGTCTACAATTATATTATCCTCGCTCATTTTTTTCATGTCGTCTTTTCATCCCCATTTAGGAGTATTTTAGAAAGCCGGTCATCATCTATATACTTCGATTTTAGAGAATTTGACATTTTATTTCTTACACTTACATTATGGATGACTAAAGAAGGGGGAAGAGGAGTTTTGCGCAATTTCTATTATACTCCTGAAGTATCATGAACACGGTACTCTGGCATCATAACGACGCTACTTGTTCTCTCAGTTTCCCATTCTCTTAGCTTCTCTTATGCTATACTATGCTTTCTTTCAATTGGAATTACTATTCGAAATTCAATCAATCTTTTTTCTTCCAATTGCAATTCTGTCACACCAATCATCCATTCTTTCTTATACTTCCTCCTTTTTTTTTTTTTACTTACAACACTTTGACTTTTACACTATTTACAATTTCACATATCTCACTTTTTTTTTTTTTTTGACGAAAACCGAACCAAACAAATTTATTACTCAAAAGCAGAAGCTAAGTCAGCCATTACAAAGGGTGAGATTTCACTAGGAACCTCTTCCATCCAAACTCTAAGATCACCATAAGAAGAACTAAGTTTGGCTAAAGCATGGGCTGCCCCATTACCACTTCGTTTGACGAAGGAGAAGGAGCACGATTGGCAGCCACGAGCTAACTGCATTATATCATTAATAACCATCCCAAGGATCGTAGCAGGGGCACAACCCTTCGTCAGGTGACTGAACACCTTCATACAATCAGTTTCCAGGCACACCTTCCTAAACTCCGACTCCAATGCTATGCGTAGGGAGTGTCTCAATGCAAGGGCTTCAGCTACATCCACCTCATACTTACTTCTTAGGCATAGACATGTAGCCACCACAACCTCCCCCAGTGCATCACGCATTACACCTCCCAATCCCACAGCTGAGTTATCAAAGATCGCAGCATCAGAATTTATCTTGATCATTCCCTGAGTAGGAGGTTTCCACTTCGACTCCAACAACTGATGCCTACCTTCAGACGAACTTAAAGCCTGCTGAGCTTGTTCATAATCTCCCACCACACTCACTGCTTTTTGGATAACATCCATCAGATCTTTCTTCCTATTCTCATAGGACCATACATTTCTCCGTAGCCATATTCCCCATAGAATTGCGAAGAGAATGTTCCACCAGTGAGGATCTTTGTGAAGAACACGGATGGAGCCACACCACTCCCCAAAACCCACCCCCTCGTATTTCTCCACCTCTAAACGTAGGGGTGAAAGATACCATATTCTTTTTGCTTCAGGGCAGAGAGCAAGCATGTGTAATATGGTTTCATTTTCACTACCACACATTGGGCAAATAGGATCTATATTCATACCTCTTTGAAACAGGCACTGCCTGGCAGCCACAGCTCCTTTCATAGCTCTCCAAGCAAAATTCTTTACTTTAGGAGGATTGTCAGAGTTCCACACAACAGTCCACTCAAATTTGCAATTAACCCTTGATGAAGTAGCCGTATTATTTTTTTCTTCACATTGACTAGCTTTAATGATTTATAAATTAGGAAAAATATAGTCATGTGGGATCTTGTTTTACTCGTCTCGATTTATACTTTCATAATATCAATTTTTTGTATAATTTTTACACATTGGTAATTATAGATATTAATGATTGAAATAGTGTATTGGCAATTGTGAAATGAGAAGTGTTGCAAGTATTAAGAAACGAAGGAAGTATCTTTTTTTTTCTTCTACTTTATCAAAAATTGTACTAGTATATGATTTTGTGCAATTAGCTTGGTACTCCGTATTAATTTTGACTATGCTTGTCTTAGTTGTACTGAATTTGTTACTCCCTCCGTTTTTATTGCCTCCACTTTTTATTTTTGGCCGTTTTTAAATACTTGCTTCATTTCTTTATTTGGAAGCTTTTACACTATTTAATTCATTTCTCTCAACTAGTGGTCCCAATATAAATCATATTTTATTAATTTCACATATATTCTCTCTCCTCCAATTGTCTCAACTATTTTTGCTTTTTACAATTTTATATTATTTTACCTATCCCACTACCATCATATTTTATTACATTCTTCAATTTCTCTTAAAAATTCGCGCATAAAGAATAGAGCAAGTATTTAAAAACAGAGGGAGTATTGATTAAGATGCCAAAAGATGAGGAGATAGACTACAAAGAAGAAAAGAGAAAATAAGGAAAGTGCTTTTATTTAATATTTTTTTGACGAGGAGAGTGCTTGAGGTCCAAAGTACGGCCTAATCTGAACAAGATAAAGACAGGTTTTTAAAGGATACTTGTATAGTTGTATATAATACGGAGTAATATGTATATACTCCATATAAATGATTTTTTACGCATATCTCTAATGCAAAGTCTGCAATCTAAACCCTTTTGTCTCATTTTAGTTGCTCAATTTGATCATTATCTATAAGAGTTTTTTGTGCAAGTAGAGCAATTACTCTTAATCTGATCATTAATAGTTCATTATAATTAGCAAACACTGGTTCAACAATCAACTTTATAACTCTAAGGGCTTGTTAGTTCACTTTATTTTTGTTTATCTGATCTGATCTAATTGTCTAATTTGAACAAAGACCTTAACAATAATCTATAAAGAAAAAATATATCAAGTGTGGTCTTGTTAGCTTCGTAATAATGTGTATTTTTTAAATATGTAATTTCATAAATTTTTTTAGTATGGAATTAAAGAAATTTAGCGATAAAAAGCTGTACATAAAACTATGATCTAATCTGAACTTTTTTTTTTCTTTTTCTGAAATAAGTAAAAATAAATTGAACTAAAAAAGACCTATGTTTCTTGTTTTACGTATAATAATCAAGATGTAAAAATATACTACCTCTGTTTCTTTATAGTTGCAACAAAGGGTATTATTTATGAGATATAATAAATAATTTTGTACTAACTAAAAAGAAACATACAGAGTAGGTACTAATTGATTTTAAGGAAATAAAATGATAACAATGGTGATGTAAAAATTGATTTTATGCTCGGATGGCAAAACCTACAAAACAAAAATATAAATATAAGAAATTAAACGGTTATAGAATTTTGAATCCATTATTTCGAATTGAAAGTACTACAACAAATAAGAACAATTTCACTCAACATAACCCTCATTTGGGGTACTTTTAAACACATATAACAAGTCGAAGAAAAAAACAAATACATAGAAAATCAATCATTATTTAGTCATATATTTCCTCAATAGCCATATGGAGGAGGGCTTGGGGTGTATGCGGGAGACTTGTAAACCGGTGACTTGTAGACGGGAGAAGGGGAGTAAACCGGTGATGGTGTGTATTTTGGTGATTTATGTACAGGAGATGGAGTATAAACTGGTGACTTGTACACTGGTGATGGAGTGTAAACTGGGGACTTGTAGATTGGGGATGGTGTGTAAACTGGTGACTTGTACATTGGTGATGGGGTGTAAATTGGGGACTTGTAGATTGGAGATGGAGTGTATGATGGAGATTTATACACTGGTGAAGGTGTGTATACAGGAGACTTGTACACAGGAGATGGAGTGTATACTGGTGACTTGTAGACGGGGGATGGACTGTAGACTGGAGCCTTGTAACTCGGTGATGGGGTGTACGATGGAGATTTGTACACCGGTGTTGGCTTGTATATTGGAGACTTGTAAACTGGAGATGGGGTGTATACTGGTGATTTGTACACAGGGGATGGAGTGTAGATGGGTGACTTGTAAACTGGAGACGGGGTGTAAATTGGTGATTTGTACACAGGAGATGGAGTGTAATCTGGTGACTTGTATATAGGAGATGGAGTGTAGACCGGTGACTTATGAACCGGAGATGGGGTGTAGATTGGTGACTTGTATACATGGGATGGAGTGTATACTGGTGATTTGTATATTGGAGATGGAGTGTATGTTGGTGACTTGTATGATGGGGTTGGGCTATAAACTGGGGCCTTGTAGACCGGAGATGGTGTGTACTTTGGGGATTTGTACACTGGTGTTGGCATGTATACTGGAGATTCATAAACTGGTGACGGAGTGTAGATAGGGGATTTATATACAGGCGATGGTGTGTACACTGGCGACTTGTGAATGGGTGATGGTGTGTACACTGGGGATTTGTATACTGGTGACGGTGTGTACACCGGCGATTTGTACACTGGGGATGGTGTATACACTGGTGTCTTGTACACCGGTGATGAATAAGAATCACTAGCAGATGAAACTGCCACTAAGGCCACGAGAAGAAAAGACGTAAAAGAGAGACGATTGAGAGCCATTGTGATATGAGACCAATGGCACTCACTAGATTGTGTTATGAGAATTATTGCTAAGTAAAAGAAGTTTGAGCTGTGGAATTCCTTGTTTGTAGATGGGATTTATATAAGGTTTGTCTTTGAATTATTTCTTGATATAAAATCAATGAAATGAAAAAGATTCGTTAGGTTTATCCTTGTCATCTCAATCTTGTTTGAATGTATGTAACCAATTATATTAATTGACTTATTCTTTTTTTATATGTGAATGTGGACGTTCAAATTACCAGTGACTACATGCAAATGATGTTGTTATTATTAGTGCTCAGTAGCTGCCAATCAAGAAGCAGCCTGGTAAATTGATAAATTGTAAGCAGAATCACGTATAAAAATTATTACTAATATCATATAATATTTTGCATAAAAACTTCATAAAACACCGACAAAAATTTGCAATTGGGAGCTATTATATAACGTAAAATAGTTAGGTAGCTTTTGATTGGTCAAATTGTCCATTAGTAAATAATATCATTGCACCAAACTAGTTGAAAACTAAGTATATTTATGTGTATACTGAGAAAAAAAAAATCACAAATATAACGAAATGTTAGATATATGGTTAGATTGATTGAATTGTGATGCGAAGATATGTTGATAAATTTAAATTATAAACTTTAATTTGCATTAATAATAATAATAATTGGACTACGTATCTTACAAGAAGTGGTCGAGTATTTCATCTCAATTGTACGACAATACGACATGCATGTAGGAGATTAGCAGGAGCGCAGGAAAATTATTGCTTATTTGCTGCTAATGCAAATTATGCTCATACAATAGGTATTATAATGGTGTGTACAAACTCGACAATCGACATTGCTTGTTTCGGCCTTCAAAGGGATAATCAATAATGGACAAGAGTCATATCATAAGAGTTAATAAGGAAATTAAATTGCCTTAGAATTTCAATAATAATGCTCCATCATAAAGGTGGATAGACGACAAGTTCAACGAGCACATGATATTGCAAAGTAACGTACTGTATTATTTATTTGTTTATTCTAATTTCAGTCCTTGTAACTTTAATTTATGCCATGTAAAAAAAAAACACTTTAATCTATGTGATAAAAAAAAATTATTATCTATTCCACAGTAAAATCTTTGCTAGTTTTTGTGTTATTCTCTTTTTATTGACTTAACTGTCTTCATAGACTTCATTGTTGATTTTGATCTGTTATTCAATTATGGGTAATAAATTACAGCATAATTTAACACAATCAAATTCCCATCAACTTTTTATTTATTTGTAAAAATAAAATAAATAAATAAATAAAATAAATAAATATATAAAAAAAATTAAAAAAAAAAAAAAAAAAAAAAACAATACAGCAATGGAGCAAGTAAAAAATATGTTGTAAGAAACTTGTCCCTTCATATTTTAGTATGATAGTTGGGAAGAGAGAGAATATGGAAATATTAAAGTATGATTGTTGGGGACCACTAAGAGAGAAACAAATTAGTAAAATATTGTGAAAAATTTCAAAATAAAAATAAAAATGGAGCAAGTAATAAAATACGGTCATAAATAGAAAGTGGAGCAAGTAATAAAATATGGAGGGAATACCTGATAAAAAGTAAAATGTTGTAAAATAATACTACCTACATCCGAATTTCCAATGTTGACCTAATTTTTCGTCGTTGACTCACCTCAAACTAACCACCTCCGAAACCAACATCTTGTAGCTCGAAACTACCCCCACCAACTAGAAATAAATATCCCCCAACCACCTCGAAAATAGCCTTATTACCTTGAAAACCAACCCTCGTGGTGGTTTTAGGGGTGCTTTGAGGTTGGGTCAACACCGAAAAATTAGGTCAACGGTGGATATCTGACAATATGTCATATTTTAATTTATATTAGGTAGTTTCTTACGATATTTTTTTTTAGGTAGTTTCTTATAATATATTTTTTTTATTAGGTAGTTTTTCACAAAAAAAAATTATTTATTTTAATAGGTAGTTTATGTCAAAAAATTAAAATAAATATATTCACATAAAATCTTCTAAGCTTAGTCTCTGTATGTACTAGTATGAATCTTGGGAACATTATTAGCATTTTATAACTTATACAAATTAAATTTGTAAATAATTAGATCCGTTATTTGCTTTAAAATTGTTTATACAAGGATAAGTTGTGGAATATAATCCATGTTTTCAAAAAAAAAAAAAAAAAAAAAAGAGGCTGTTGAATATAATCCATTATTTGCTTGGGTTTATACGTAGCATACATTTCGTATTAATTGATTAATACATAGGGTTTTCCCTTGATTCACTTTACTATTATTAAAAGTCAAAAAAAAATTATTTTAAATTAGATGCGTTAGGTATAGTTATACTACGTATAATACTGTATAATAAACTAATCTGCAATCTTGTTTTTAACGAATAATTGAATTAACCATTATTTTAAGCGAATTTGGACGTTTTTATTCAGAACTAATCCGTTTGACTATGGTCATTTTGACTGCAAAATGGTTGTTATTAATCTAATTATTTCATGATCTAAATGCTTGCAACTAAAGCAGCCGAGCTTAAACCAATTAATTAAGTACGTTTCACTAATAAACAAAACATTGTCTTGACTTAATTGTTCATTTGAAATGGATTGTGAATAATTATTAACCTAATCGATAGGCCGAAATTCTCATGCAGCCAGTAGCAATGTAGCATAGCTCAGACGTACGTACTTTGAGTTATTTAATCTTATATTCGCAAACTCCGAATTCATTCTACATATATATTTGCCTTTTAATTTATGTGCCATGGATATGAATTATGTGATGCTGTTATTGCTTACACATCCTTGCCACTTTCCACAGTAAAACATATACTCATGATGAATTAAACCTCTTTAATTATTTCCAAAATGTAATTTTGTTTTAGAGACGACATGTTGGAATTCGAAAAATTAGGAATACAAATTAAAGGAGCTAGTTGCTTGGTTATATATGAACATAAAAACTAAGAAATATTTATTTATTAAAGCAATACAATTAAACAAAAAGATACATGGTTATATTATGAAATTATACGAGCAATGAAACTAATTTAACAATATTTTATATTACTTGATTATTGATAACTACATTTGCTTTTAATAACGCGGTATGTTATTATAGTTAGTACTTCGTATATAAATAGTGCATTACTAAAAGTGTGCTAATAAAAATAAAAAATAAAAAATACAATACGCAGTAAATAGAATAATTATTTATTCATTTCAATTTAAAGCAATACAATACATAACGGAGCAACTTCACCCGACTCCTCAATTGGAGTTATTATAAAATTCAGCAAAAACAATTTAAACAATCATGTAGCTATGTAATTTAATTTCTTAATAGCCGTATGAAGGACTTGGAGTGTATGTAGGGGTTTTGTAGACCGGAGCAGGAGAGTAAACAGGTGACTTGTATACAGGAGATGGAGTGTAAACTGGAGACTTGTAAACCGGTGATGGAGTGTATACCGGTGACTTGTACACAGGGGATGGAGTGTAAACTGGAGACTTGTAAACCGGTGATGGGGTGTAAACGGGTGACTTGTACACAGGGGATGGAGTGTAAGCTGGAGACTTGTAAATCGGTGATGGGGTGTAAATAGGTGACTTGTACACAGGGGATGGAGTATAAACAGGTGACTTGTAAACCGGTGATGGAGTGTAAACGGGTGACTTGTACACAGGAGATGGAGTGTAAACAGGTGACTTGTAAACCGGTGATGGGGTGTAAACGGGCGACTTGTACACCGGGGATGGAGTATAAACAGGTGACTTGTACACCGGGGATGGAGTAAAAACAGGTGATTTGTAAACCGGGGATGGGGTGTACACAGGTGACTTGTACACAGGGGATGGAGTGTAAACGGGTGACTTATAAACTGGGGATGGAGTGTATTCAGGTGACTTGTAAACCGGTGATGGGGTGTAAACAGGTGACTTGTAAACCGGTGATGGGGTGTAAACGGGTGACTTGTAAACCGGTGATGGGGTGTAAACGGGTGACTTGTACACAGGAGATGGAGTGTAAACAGGTGACTTGTAAACCGGTGATGGGGTGTAAACGGGCGACTTGTACACCGGGGATGGAGTATAAACAGGTGACTTGTACACCGGGGATGGAGTAAAAACAGGTGATTTGTAAACCGGGGATGGGGTGTACACAGGTGACTTGTACACAGGGGATGGAGTGTAAACGGGTGACTTATAAACTGGGGATGGAGTATAAACTGGCGACTTGTAAACCGGGGATGGAGTGTACACAGGCGACTTGTAAACTGGGGAAGGGGTATAAACTGGCGACTTGTACACGGGAGATGGAGTGTAAACTGGAGACTTGTAAACTGGGGAAGGGGTGTAAACCGGTGACTTGTACACAGGGGATGGAGTGTAAACTGGTGACTTATAAACTGGGGATGGAGTATAAATTGGCGACTTGTAAACCGGGGATGGAGTGTACACAGGCGACTTGTAAACTGGGGAAGGGGTATATGATGGTGTCTTGTATGATGGAGTAGGGTTGTAGGAATAATCAGTGGCAGATGAAATCGCCACCAAAGCCATGAGGAAGAAGGACATTAATGAGGAACGATAGAAAGCCATTTTGATGGAGGATGACCCAAAAGAATGAAGTATGAGAATGCTAAAGAAAGGATGAGTTCGTTGTGGATAATATGGCTTGCTTAAGGGCTTTATATAAGAACATATTAGTGTCCACTCTTTGATATAATATCACTAATACATAAAAATTCATCAAGTCTTAAATAATTTTTAAATATTTCGATTGGTGCCAACTTTACATAATTGTGATTTTGTCAATAACAATCGCATTGACTATCTTTTTTTTTTTTTTTTTTTTTTTTTTTTTTTTTTTTTTTTTGTGAATGCGGACATTTTTAGTCGAACATAAGCTTTTGAATATCAATTATTGAAATGCAAAATGCCTTAATAAATTCAATTAGTAGCTGGCAAGAGGCTTCGAGTTTAACATTATTAACTTATTATGCAAAAATTATTGGATTTAAGTTCAAAATAAAATCACCGAATTCAACAAGTTGCAATTTGTGGATGAAAATTAAATTTGTTAGGTAAAATGATAATAATTATCAATTGTGATGCTTAATATCGTCGACTTGGTCTAGTGTGAATATCATTAAAAAACATTTTATATGTCAGTTTGTAAAAGATAATATTTTATAAGCTGATTGATGATTGGTAGCTTATCGAATATGAATTGTACGTGATGCAAAGAAACGTAGACTTAATCTAGCTTTTAAATAGAAATGAGTCTACAGGACTCTACACTGAATTGTTCATGTTTTACCACCATAACTTGTTGAATTTTCCATCTTTTATACAACTACTTACGTAATACTTCGTATGTAATGATATATTACGCGTCTTTTAAAGTATTAGTCTAAGCTCATTGCAAATGTCGTCTACTCGGTTTATTATACCCTTAAAATAATGGATAAAAAAATTGTGTTATCAAGGTAAAGAAGATTGAAAATTATTTTGCTAGTAAAAGAACATGAATTAAATACATACATAATGCAGAATACTTCATATGTATTAATGTAATAATATTACGCTTTTTAACACTTTATTACTAAAGACTCATTGCAAATGTTTACTCCAACATGTTTTGTTAATTAATTTATTTTGAATGAATTATTGTGGATTATTTATTTAAAGCTAAGTAGGAGCAAAGACTAAGTATGAGTGTTAATGATGCTATTAAGTATTGAGAGTATTGACTTGTTAAGAGGAGCAGACGACTATGGCTGCTAATGATAATAATAACGTGTTGTCAGTTTTAATTGGAGGTAGTATATATGTTGATATTCAACACCCATTGTATGTTCTAACACCTTTGTATGGGAGAATAATCAAACGAGATTCAGTTGATTTCTACTCCATACTTAACTAGTTGCAATTGATAAGAGGTTGGATATTAGGTTAATTATAACCACGATTGTTGAAATGGCAAATGAGACATTATCATATTTGGAGAAGAAAAAAAAAACATATTCATGTGCGATGATTTTGTTTTTCAAAGTATATATTTTTTATGTATCAAAATTTATAATTTTTTTAATAATTTTTATTTGTCAATAATATAATCAATGGTAATAATTTTATTGTCTTTTTTTCCAACTCACTTACTATGAATACGCAATTTAATAAAGCTTTGAAAAAGATGAGCAATTGTAAGAAAAATCAAGAGAAAGGAGGTACAAAAAAGGTAAGTGAGTATAAGAAAAATTAAGAGAGGACCTTTTTTTTTCCTTTGAGGGGGATAAGAGAGTGCATATAAATAAGCAAGTGAGTGTAAGAAAAAAATTAAGAGACGATGTGTAAAAAAGCGAGATCTAGTAATCTATACTATATATTAAAAGGCGTTCATAAATAAATTTGTGTATGTGCCACGTGTAACATGTATCCCTTCTTACACCAGTATAACGCCACATCATCATTCAACAACTTTTAGGCTCATGCCACATCATCATCCAATGATCTTAATTAAAAATGTATGCAAAGATATTTGAACCCTAAACCTCATTGAATAGAAACCATATGTATTACCATCTTGACTAGAATTAATTCATGCTCTATTAATCCAAATTTATATATAAATACATACATGTATTAGAATGTAGAAGAAATTATTGTTGTCATTGTATTCTAATTTACCCACGTTAAAAAAATTAATAAGTCTTTTAAAGCGTCTAATATAAAAATAAAATTATTCAAAGTATCACTCGGGGCAAAAGCCCGGGTCACACACTAGTTGTTATGTAAAGAGAGTGAAAGAATCATTGCCCATTGCAATTTTATCAATGCTGGATACTGATTTTGTTCACCTTATTTAAAAAATAATTAAGTTCAAAATAATAAATTTAGCTATGAAAAATAGGTTCATATAAGATCCTCTTCCACTTAACATTTTTTTTGAAGGGATTCCTCTTTCACTCACCTTATCTCCACATAATTCAGAAAATAAATTAAATTAAGTCCATATAAAAGTTAATAAGTTTTTTTTGTTTTTTTAAAGAATAATATAAAGGTTAATAAGTTTAAATAAGATAAGTTCAGAAAAAACATAAGTGTATAATCTAATCTAATATATAAATAAAGTAGGCATTTTTCAAGAGCATTCGGCGGGCCACATAAGCAAAGGTATATTTTCGATCAGTTAAAAATTAGATTTTTATTTTAATTTGGAAATAAAAAATTCGTTTGCCACCTAAACAAAAGTGATGAATGAGATTTAAGAATTTTTCCACGTAAGTAAAAACAACGAATATTGATTTATTATGATTTAATTTATTTAAAAAACTAAAAATTATCTTTTAAAATAATCATCTTTAGATATAGGATTTATATACCTACTATTATAAGATCAATTTTGATAGTGTTTATGATAAGAAATAAAAATTATTCCTTAATTATAATTAAATTAAAATTTGTGATATTTACCCTTATAAATTGACGCATCATATGACACCAACAAAATTTCGTATCAATAAAAAACCAAACCAAGCAAATTTTGTGTCATTAATTTTGTGTCAGTTATATTAGGTCATCAATGGTTGGGTAATTCTTAGCCTAATTTTTAAAACCCATGTTTAAATGTATATTTGTGATTATTGCTTAAATTGTGTTTATTTGGGATACTTAATGATTATATGTTTATGTTTTGTTTACTGAATTTTGTTTTTACATGCAGATCTAATTTAATCAGAGAATTATATTCGAGCAAAAATCTTTGGAATATCAAAGTACGAGTTTCTCGCTTGATGATCCTATTGGATGAGGAGGTATTATATCTTTATAAATCGTTTACATTTATTAAATCTTTTAATGAACCTTTTAGTTTTTATCAATTAATTTCATGATTAAAACAATTTTTTTGTGATTTAGGTAGCTTAATTAAGTCATAAAATTAACTTAATTTTTTATTTTTAATTACAGGGTGATTACGTTCATGCCTCAATTAAAGTCAACTTTGTTCTACAATTTTGTTCAAAATTGATTAAAGGAAAAGTTGACTCCATTAGATACTTTTCAGTCGTTACAAATAAGAAACAATATCGCACGCATTGTCAACGACAACAAAATAATGATTCAATTTTCCAAAATACTATTGTTTGGGCGATTGGGGACGATGAAAAAATTCCAATGCATAGATTTAATTTTGTATAATTACAATTTTTAGATTAATTTCAAAACAGTTATTCACTTTCTGGTAAATGTTTTAGTTTATTTTATAAAACTACAAATACTAATTTTATATAAATTTTATTTTTGCTAACATGTTCAATTATCCATTTTTATTAGATGGAAGAGATATGGGTGTGAACAAAGTTGGTGATCCTATCGAAATTTTTTTTTAATACAAATTTTTTTACATCGAATTATTACATCTAATAACTATTATTTTTAATGTTCTTATTAAAATATTTATTAGGGGAATAAATTACATAAATTAATTAAAAATTATCCTTAACAAACAATAGCAAAGAATCAAAAATATTATGAGTATGATTTAATTACAAACATTATTTTTGTGAGATTTTATGTATAAAAAACCATGGGATATTAGGATTTAAATTATTATTAATGGTTTTATCTAAATACCCGATTAATAAGATGTTTTTTTCTTAAAAAAATTTAAAACTTATAACGCATTAAAAAACTTTACCTCTTCAAACATTTTATGTCTAAATAATTGAAAAGACAAATAATTTGTTAGAGATCAAGAGATCACAAGAAATATACAAAATGATATATAGATTTGAGAGTTTAATTTCAAGTTTAAAAGGCAACGAATAATGATTTAGGATTTAAATTATTTTTAAAATAAAAAATTACTATCTTTTCATATTAAAGATCTTATCCTAATATGTAATCAATGAAATATCATATTTACAATTTTTTTTTTTGAAGATATCATATTATTGTCACATAACTAACAACAACGAATAAAATACAAAACACTAATAAATTATGTCGCATTATACATTACATTAAAAAAATTATACTTTTGTAATTGGCAATATCATTTTAACTAAATTACTATTATTATTAATTTTTTTTTTTGTCTGAAATTATTAAATTGTTAAATAAATCAAATAATTATTAAAAAAAATAAAAAAAAAAGTTTTGATATATAGGAAAACATTTTTTCTTGAGATATATGTATGAGAAATCGTGCATCGCACGGGCTTTCATGTAGTTATAATTGTTAAGAGTCACTAACTCTTATACTCCATGTAGCTAGCCACACCGTATGGCCAGCCACCATGGGGTTACTCAGTTAGTTTAATAGTGGTTATTTGGTTAGTGTTATAGTGATTTACTCGGTTAGTAATATAGGGGTTACTCTGTCAATGTTCGTTATAGAGTTACATTTTTATACAAATGGTCACATACACGATGTGGCCAGCCACACAAAAAACGCGTTTTTTTTTTAGGAAAAGTGTAAATTGAACTACGATGTTTACCCTGACCCATTTTTTTCTTGTATGAACT